GTGTGTGTGTGTGTGTGTGTGGCTTGAGTGTAAAGTTTCAAATGGCTGCTTGTTCTGCATCTACTCAAGTGAGACTGGCGTGATGCTGGGATACCATGTGTCCAGAAAGCTCAGGAATGTTATACACGACCCTGCCCTGCTCTACACACACACACGCACTGCTGTTTCTTCCCCACCCACTTAATGTAAGATTCCTGCACAGCAAACTACAGAACACTCCAGTTTATCATAAAAGGCTAAAAATGTATCTGTATAAACTGATGCCAATGCAAACACATACATCTCATTTGCAAGTGACGCCAACATGACCAGAACTAGTCACTCGAGTGTTGAAGCTCTTTGATGTTGCATCAACAAGTGACAATGCATCACAAATAAAAGGCTGTTGTTCTCAAGACAACATGGATTCATCTGTTTGTAGTTTTCAGGAGCTGAAAGGCAATGTTGGATCTGAAATGCTGAAAAGTTCTTGCAAGAGAGTACCAAGAGAACAACCACAGCCTGGGTGAACTTACTTTTAGTGGAGTGGAGGAGCCAGTTAGGAAGGATCTTGAGGAATTCATCAAGGTGCAGAGGCATGGCTGACTGGGGGTTAGAATTGGGAATTCATATCCGGTCAGCAAACCGAGACCAGTCAGTCCCTGAACCTCCAGATGCCCACAGACACACACGATGAAACGGACTACGGCCAGGAATAGCACGAAATAGGACAGGCTCTCAGCTGTTTATAACCAGGCCGCAGAACTAAAACAGTGAGTTCGTAGACAGACCTAATGCTGTTGTAGCACAGTATTAATATTCTAAGTGTGAACAACTTCCTACAGCAATATCACATTTTCCAGTTTAGAGCAAGGCAAAACATATCATCGCAGACTGACAAAGATTCATCTATAGATGCTGAGTTTTCAAAGCCCCTCCAATCCCTGCTTCCCTTCAGATTCCTTCCGGTGTCCCTTGAAGCAGGGAGCTGCTCAGAGCTCCTTGTAAACAGCCTCATACCTGTCTCTGATTTCAACATTACCATGCCAACCGTTGGCAGTCAAGACAAACAGCCTATTTGTGAGGCAAAGACATGATCAAAGCTATCC